CCCACCCCCACCCCACCCCCCACACACGATTTGTTTACAAAGGATGTGCTGAACCACACCCAACCAGACCGGAGGCAGGGGGGCCTAACCAAATTATTCTATTTTCCCAACACCATTCATTTTTATCTGTTCTTAATCTTAGGTCAAATAAGAGATTGTGGGTGATATTATGCTTATGGCCAGAGTGTCATACATTCTGCTTTGCCTGAGACAGTCCCAGGTTTTATCTTTGTCCTGGTGGAATAATTAATTTTCACAAGTGTCTAGTCTGGACAATAAGTTATATGGTTACCGTAATTATAGCAATTGTCGGAAGTCAAAGACTTTCCGGAAATGTTATGTCTCCAGGCCTTTCTGTTTGTTTGCTTTAAAATGGAATTAAAGCAGTTTAACATTCGTATAATGTTTTATAGTTTATACTCTCCTAAACTGCTGGCCCCTGGAGGTGGAATTGAACTTTTAGACAGGTTTTGTTTGACTGTCATAGTGGTTTAAAAAGTAATGATAATTTGAATACCTTTGCAGAGGGTAGCTATTTTCCCACACCACTTCCCTCATGTCTCACGACCCTGGAGGCATTTGACCTTATGTCCCTGATTTACAGCTCTCTTTTGCATATATTACATCATTTAAGTTTCACCTTTAAGAAATTATCTCTATCCATTCTCAGATGAGGAAACTGAGTATGCTTCAGAATCACCAGGGGGCTTGTTAAAACGCGTATGCTAAGTCCCAGGAGAGACTTTCAGTTTCAATAGGTCCAGAGCCCTGATAATTTACATTTTAAACAAATTCCTAGGAGATGCTTATGCTGCTAAAGGGGCCCACACTTTGAGAACCACTGGTTCTGAGACACCACAAATCATTCTAGTTCATTCAGCTAATAAGTGACAGAGCTGAAATTCAGCCCCAGGTTTTCCATTCCATATTAAGTCCTCTTTATTCTACAGAGCATTACAAAAACAAATAGTAATCTTCAAAAATGGTGAGAGTTCTTTTAAAAGAACACTGATATTTCAACAAGGTTGGGCAAGCCTGCAGAGAGAATGAAATATTCATATGAACACCACTGGAGAGGTTCAGACAACTATCACCAAACAGGTACCAACAGCTTCATATGGGGGGAAATTTAGACATAAGGAAAATGTGTAGTGGTCCAAAGGTATTATACTCTCCTAGAATTAATACTGTTGTCCTTGGATAATCCATTCACTGGACTGAGTGGATTTTTTTTTTTTCCTGCTGCTCAGTATAGGGATTGAATCCTGGACCTTGGAGAGTGGATATTTCAAACTCCTAGCAGGCAAAGTAGTGTGAAACTGTTACTGAACCCAAGTCCGGCTGCCCACTGCCAAACAAACAAACGACTCAAAAGTCAAATGTTGTGAAAAGGGAAGGCAACTTTTTTCAGGACCAGTAACCTGCAGTGGATAGTAGCCTACCTATCTCCAAAGCTCAGATTTACTGAGGGGTTTTTAAGAAGGAGGTTGAGGGAAGTGAAAAGCAGGAGGAAGTGGGACATGAGGTGTGGGGACTCCATGTAAGGGGCCAGGTGCAAAATTTTGCCAAGGCTCCATCTGTTTTCTGTTCTTATCCTTGATGTTTTCTCAGGGTCCTGCAGGATCTTGATTTGCTTCAGGGTGGAGTCAGCATAGCTTTGTTGATGTCTTCCTTGGTTTCTCAGGATCTGGAAACACAGCTCTACACTTATGTAAATAATGTCATGCTGCCCTATAACCAAGGTTCAAAATATCAAATAACCATGGGAAAAGGGTGAACATAGAGAAATGCATGCTAAGCTAGCCCTCTGCTTACCTTATATTCTGCTAGACAAGTTTGCCTTTTGCAAACTTCCTCCAAGGCTGAGGCCTGCTCCAACCCTGGAGGAAATAAATCAAATATGATCAAATATGGGTCCTGCTGCTACAATTCCCTCCTTCTCATGTTCCTTCCTCAGTCTTGAGGGGTCTGCTTCGGTTCGCTTTAACAAAACCAAAATGCAAGGGTTGGGTCTTGAGAGAGAGAGAGATAGAGAGTGTGTGTGAGTGCCAAAGGGCTTCCAACTGGGGCACAGAGTTTATAAAAGCCAGCCATAGCAGAGCAAGTAATGCAAAGCTGTTTCCCAGACAGCTGTC